GTGTTATCCCTCCAAACTATTCAAGAAACCCATTACTTTCGATATCTCCTGTTCAGTCCATCTTTTACATATTCATTTCTTTATTTTTGGTAATGAAATAATTGTAAACATTTGGAAAATATAATGGCGTTTGAAATATTGTCGTATGTATTGTTCTATTTTCCAAATAACATATCAAAAGTTTACCATTATCTAAATAGCAGATCCAGGTATATGACGGAGGAGAGTGAGAGAGAGCAGTTGCTTAGGACAATGCAGAGCCATATATACAGTTCTGGGATAATGCAAAAGAAAGATATTTCCGTCTGACTAGTATTAATATGAATAGTCAGTTCCAACAATGCTTAGGAATTTTATATAGAAAATATGATAAGGAATTAAAATAAAACTATGTGAAAAGATTTCATGATAATTATTTTCGAAATGATGTACGATAACATATTTCTTCAGGCAGATCCAAACTATTCATCAAATCAACAACTCAAGGGGAACAAAAGTGATGCCTCACACTCTCTCCACATGTATTTCAGTCACGATTGCACTTCTTTGCCTGATTTCCGTAATTTCCATCCTCCTTACATTCGAACCATCCTAACTATGTCCTGGTAGTTTGAACATGGGCCTCCTTTCAGGGCAAAAAGGACATGATCTCTCCGAGCCAGGTCTGGCGAGGTGTCACTGCTTTTGTTGTTAGGTGTACATATTATATATGTATAATATATATATAATATACGTGTAATGTATATAGATAGATAGATATAGATATAGATATATACATATACATATACATATATATGTATATGCATATATATTGTGTCTGTTTAACATATGACCAGTAATTATTTTATTATTTTACTTTTACAGATTGGGATTTAAATAATGCTAGACTTCTAACTTGCAAAGAAATACATACCATAAGAAATTTAACAGTCATTGGATCTGGATGGACAAAAACAGTTTACAGGTAGGGGAATAAATTTGCTAGTGATGAAATTTTGCCAAATGTTTTTCATATCATTGATGCAAACATGTATGTCATACTTGAATACAAGTATAGATCATATAGCCTATAGTGAATGTTCATTTAACAATTCTTACTTTCAGAGGTTTAACCTTACTTGCAAACCCATTCCTACCAAACCTCACTTCTCTCTTAATAATTGTACTGGAACTGTTTCTATCCCCCTTACTGATTGTACCATACATGACAAGAACTGGTCAGACTGAGAAAATTATGTACTTACCCGCCTTGCTGATCATAATGCAGTACCAGTACAATATTACACTATTCCTCCTAGAGTCCAGCGTAAGTCCCATGTCAGTATTGCCAAGATTAGCTCCCGTAGACATGACCTCTCCCAAGAAGTTTATATTGGTGGATTGTCCTACCATATCGACCCCTTCCCCACCTTTGTCAGAAATGTTGGTGTTTTGGCCACCGAGCCAAACACTGTCGCTCCACAGCCCACTCCCCTCTATTTGCCCAACCTGGTCATGACCATTCAAATTGCCCTGCTAAGTCATGTATATGTACCAATTTTGGTGACTCCCATAACATATTTTATAGGAGCTGCCCTGCCTAAAAGCTCAAATGTGAGGTAGCAGTTCTCAGATTCAAACTAGGCCTCACTCTACGTGAGGCTAGACAGGAAACACAACTACAAGGTTTTTCTCTCTATTCCAAAACAGTCCTTCACTTTGCACACCCCCAATTTCCATAAGATGTTTCTGCATTTCCCCCAGTATCTCTTCCCTATACCCTGAACCATCCTACCTCTAATCTCCTTATCCCCTAAGTCAAATCCCTTTTCCATAGTAAATCTAGTTACTCCAATCTCTACCACTTTTCTGATACCTACCCTTCCTTCCCCTCACTTTATCCATTGCACCAGACAACCTAAACATTCTACTCCATCTTTGCCTTCCACACCCTCTCCTTTTCCTCTGTTAACATCTGTCCCCTCTTCTCCTCCTCACAAGAGATCCTTTGTTTCTCAGACCTTCCTACCCAAATCCCCTCCAGAAACTCTTGAAGACAACCAGAAATTCTTAGACGTGACCCAAGAAAATTTTCTGCTCCCTCATCCACCCTCCAATCCTTCTATTCCTTGTCTTTCTATATTCAAAGTATTTACCAATATCAACCCTCCTCCCCCACAAGTTCCCCCTACTCCCTTTCCTCATACTCTTTCCCAACAAACACCATCCTCTCGTCATGTACACCATTCCCTTTTCATTCTCCATTATCTTCACCTCTCCCACCTGGATACTCAAGTGAATCCCGTATGTCGCAACAGTGTCCTTCTCCGGATTCCTCCCCCTCCTGATGCTCTTCCTGATACTTCCCCAGTCCCCTTATCTTATTTCCCAGACTCTTCTCCTGCTACTTCTCCAACAACCAACTCTACCCTTATTACCCATTGATTATTTCATAGCAGCTCTTTTACCAGTTTTTCTATAAAGCAATGTTACTATAGCTTCCCCAAACATAAATGCACACTATTCCATCCAATCGACCAATACCAATAGTCCTTTCCTTTATTAATCTCCGATTTACTTCATTTGCACCCCCTCTTTACACGTTTTCCCCATCATACTATTCTGTAGCACTATAACCTTTGACATTTAACACTCTTTATACAAATTGCTAACTCATTTACCCTTTTCAGAACAATACTTTAATGTAGTGCTATATGTCCTTAGATGTCAAGCACATTTATTTGTTTCAATCATTAACCATTAACCATTTCAGAGGTTTATATGGAAATAGTGCAGTAGCGTTAAAAACTGTGCATAGTTCTGGTCACGACATGACTAGTTGTCAGGAAGAAACTAGTGTCTGCTATCATCGTTGTGCCTCAAAGATAATCAAGGAGACAGCACTGCTTCGTGAACTTAAACATCCAAATGTTTTAAAGGTAAAGGCTTTCAGTTTTTATCCCCTACTTCTACTATTACTGTTGTTGATGTCATTATTAATATCATCATCATTATCATCATCATCATCATCATCATCATCTTTATCATCATCATCACCATATAATTATTGCTATTTTTTTTTATTTTACGAACTTGTCTCTTACAGGTATTGGGGGAGTGCTTACCAAATGAAGATTATTCCCCAGGACCTCCTGCAGTAGGAGTTGTTGCAGTGATAACAGAACTGGGTCATCCTGTGGACATGATTGAAATATTGCAGATGGACTTTGAAAGCCGTTTGAAGGTAGGATCTAATCACCAACATTTGAAAAAAAACATTATGTATCTTGGTAAAGCAGATTTGACATGTCATGAGATAAATAACAAAAATTATCCAGCGACTTCATATTGCACATATATTTTGTTTCATTCTTCAGCTAGCATATGATGTAGTCAGTATACTGCAGCATCTAGTCCACTCTCCCCTCGGCTCTCTATTAATGAAGGACTTTCGACGGCAGCAGTTTGTTATTGTTGGTGACACCCTAAAATTATCTGATGTGGATGATATAGTTCTTGGAGACCCCAAGTGCACTCATGATAAGGACTGCATTCTGGAGATCAGCAGTGGTAAACATGTTAAATCATATTGTAAGTATTTGATATTTCAGAAATGTGATGCCACAATATTTCATACTAAAGCTGACATTATAGAAGTACATCAAGCATAGGTTGAGATTGAGTAGGTCAGCATTTAGGGTCTTTGGTGTTTTAGGAAGTAATTTGAATATAGTTATCATTGACATGATGCTTCTAGATCACTTTGAAATACTTTTTATGATTAGCCTGTATTTTTTGTCTGAAACTTTGATGGTTCAGAACATCCATTGGTCTGATGCCTGTCTGGTCCCATGCTTGCTGCACTGCTCAGATTCAGTCACTATATTCTATGTATGGAAATGAATATTTATCTAGGTTGAAGAAGTTTTACACATAAACCTGCAGAGACAGTTAGGTTACCTAATTTGTATAAACAGAATAAATGTCAACTAATACAATTCATTTAGCTGTCAATCTGTCTTGTAAGACTGAATTCAGAGGAGTTAAATTCCCTTTGTGATTTTTTTTTTTTTCAGTGCCATGTAGTGCTGGGAAGTGTAAAGGCTACAATAGCCTGAGTAATGCAATTCAAGCTGGGCAACATTTCATGCGTCTGCTGATCCCCTATGGAAGTCCGAAAGCTTTAGAAAATACAAGTTCTGATATTCTAAACCGTCTTTTGGCTGGAAATTTATACTCTGAAGAAGTTTATTCAGAGATTCATCGGTTAGTGAGGAATTACTCTTCTGGAAATTATCTTAAAGATACTGAGAAGGATATGATTAAAGGTAAGCTGCTGAAAGAGTAAAATATGAAATACACATTTCTTCTATCAAATGATTACACAATAGATCAAGAAAATATTCTGAATATGTAGGAGTTAGATATCATAATATGATTAGATATTTATGTATGTATATATATATATATAAGTATGTGTGTGTGTGTGTGTGTGTGTGTGTGTGTGTGTGTGTGTGTGTGTGTGTGTGTGTGTGTGTGTGTGTGTGTGTGTCTTTGTGTTTGCGTGTGTGTACAAACACATTCTGAATATGTAGTAGTTAGATATAATAATATGATTAGATATTTATATATGTGTGTGTGTCTGTGTGTTTGTGTGTGTACAGACGTATTCTGAATATGTAGTAGGAAGATATCATAATATGATTAGATATTTATATGTGTGCATGTGTGTGTGTCTGTTTGTTTGTTCACATACAGATACATATATATATACTTACGCATACACACAAACATACATGCATACATACATACTTACATATGTGTAAATAATTTTTTTCTTTTTATCACAAGATTATGTTGCATACCCTGGTGAAACAATATCAGAAGGCGACTTTTCATGTCAGAAGACAGCTGCTTGGGGTTGTATTCAGTCAGTATCCTCACCAGCAGAAGGTGCCTGGCTCTGCTCTCAAATCCCAAAGTGTGAGGCATTTATCCTCATTGATCAGAGGTCTTGGACAGGTAGGCATATACAATTCCTAAGTTGTAGATCTACATGCTTCATCTGTATTATTGTGTGGGGAATTATCTTAGTAATGGTCACATTAATGCAGCTGAATTGTGATAAAAGATATCTTTCCATTTTCAGGCCGTCAGATTGCAGTCTTTAAGTCATCACTTAGGAATATCAAAGAAAATAAGGAGCATACACTTTATATCCGTCGAGGGCAGGGCTGATGAGTAGGCATGTTGTGATCTATAATTGTATAGATATAAAAAAAAAAAATGATAATGACAAGTTTCTTCCCATGTAATGACTTCCTTAGCTTTAATTAGACATTGAAAATGTAATCATCTTTATTTAGGTATGAAATACCATGCAATGATATGTTGTGATTATTGTGATGAATGAGAATATGTGAATTCCAATAGTCTTACTTTATATAAATGTAAGAATAGGGTTGTTTTATATAGGTCTTTATATATTTTATACATTTTTATTTTTATATTTTACAAAAAGTGAGCTATATATCCAGGTTATGATTTCTAATAAGTTCAAGTTACTAGTTAAAACTGTAACCAAGTGCCATAACTGAAGTTAGAATAGAATATTAGTTTTATTTTTTAAGTGGAGAGATGTCTTTTGTTTTATGCGTTTCATATGTTCATTCAAGAATTATTGAGAACAGGTAGAAAACTTAGCATAAGTTTTTAGTTTAGTAATAGCATTATTTGAATTAGAATTTTTTTACTTTGTGTTACACAAGGCAATGAGTAACATAAATGATATGGAGAACATAGACATATAGCATGTCAAATTACGGCTACCCTATCCATATATGATAAATATGATTGTTATGATCTTGAAAAGAGGAATATCCTTCTAGTCAAAACCAAAGTAAATATTATATTATGTCATCCATCAAATGGTATAGCACAATACTTGTCATGAAAGATCTTTTGTTGTGGAAAGACTAAAGTGATTTAATTTAGGTTAGTGTTTATTTAGATAAGTCATATTAATGTGTAATTATTTATAATAAAAGTATTGAAAAGTGTGAATAAGTTAATATCTTCTCCCTTACTTTACATAAGTCATATTAATGAGAATGTAATTATAATAAAAGTATGAAAGTTTAAGTACTTCTTTCTTTTACCAATTAACATATTTACTGGTGAGTTCAATAGATTTAGTGTTTTCTTAAAACTGGTATGTAACTTACAAGAAAATATCACAAATCATAGTTTTACTCTGAACTGAGAACAAATTATTTAATTACTTGTTTCCATCAGCAGTACATTATTTTATAAGCAGTTACTATGACAGTGATGTTTAGTTTCATTTGTGTCATTTTTACCCATGATTTTTAGGGCTATAAGAAATTCTAGAAAGAATTGTTATGTTTTGCACGTGTAATTAACATTCACTACGCCATTTTATTCTCATTATTACTATTACTTTGCTGAATTACAAAATACTATTGAAAATGGAATGATATATAAAAGCTCAAAATCCCTTCATTAAAAAAGTTTTTCTACTAAAGTTACAGTAATGCTCTTGTTTTCAGGTCAATCTTTTTTACTCTGCTTATATTGTTTTAATAATAATGGTAATGTGATAAGTGATTGATGAGGGGTATTCTCATTATTTGCTAAGAAAAATGGGTTATACATCAACTCCTCACATACTCTGTTCCCTACTCAAATCGTAATCACATGGCTATCAATATTTATTTTATGTTGCCTATTTCGCTTAAATTGTCCTATAGGTGTGTCTGTTGTCTGTATATTACCACTTCATCATCAACGTTATTATGATTGATACTTTTATTATAATTCTTGTTCGGTTGTTGTTATTATTTCCCACTGATTATTTTTATTGTAAATATTTTAGAGCTCTATTACGCAGTAGTAGTGAGTAAATATCAAAATCAAATCATTATTACTATTATTCGTCGTTATTCACTGCCCCACTTTTTTGAGTGATATTATTCCACTCGATAAATCCGCAACGAATGAAGACCACTAAAGTGCTAAGATAGCTTCTTGTTTAAGTTTACTTTTCTTAATTATTTATCTGAGTGACCCCATATTAGTCTTCCATCTTATTTACTTGTTGTCATATACTTTCCTAATTTGTTGACCTTTTTGATTATCATTATTTGTAGTTTTTGGTATGTTTTTTGTTAGTAAGAATATGCACCCAATAAAAAAGTGCTTTTCTTTGTTTTATCATATTTGGATGGCTTACTATTTTCCCTGTTGCTTGAATAATATGAGTTGTATCAATCTTAGTATATATATTATCATTATTTCGGAAAATTAGTAGCTTGTTGGCAGGTTTTATCAATTTATCACTCGCTGAAGTTTTAGAGATAGCATCTCTTGTCTTTCACTTATTATCTATTCAGTCATTTCTTTAATTTTGTTTTCGATTTTGTTGTAATATTAGTTGATTGCTGTATTTTAGCGTTTAAAACAGTCTTTTATTAAATTCATCCTGGGTTTAATCTTCATTATCATTATTCATTTTATTGTTATTATTTTTCAGCTTCATTATTATTGGAGTTTACTATCATTCATCACTATTATTACTTTTACTATTAATTATTATATTTACTCTTCTATAAGTTAGTATCCCTTATCTATATTTCCTCTACGTACATCTACTTATTACAATCAGGATATCATTCCCGATTAAATAAAATCTGAGTATATGAGAGTCTCTCTCACTTTAACCTTAAATTAGGATTATGTATAATTAATAGTACTATTATATTCATGACTTATTATATTATTATTTTTATCATTATCGAGATTATTATTATATATAGTGTGTATAAATCCTGATTGCATCAATATTTTATGATTAACTGTTATACTGTGTGTAATTACTCTCTCCGAGTTGTACACACTCTTAATATCCATGAATACCTTAAATTATCTATTAAGTGTGAGTCACTACTACTGATATGTATATCGCATTTATTCCATCTCTACTTTATCATTATATATTACTATTTGTTGTGTTTCGTCATTTTTAATCGATACTTTATCAGATACCATTTTGAACCATTATTGGGCTAGACCTTAATACTTTTAATTTGTTTGCATATTTTAGTGACTTTATATTCAATAATATTTTAATATTGGATTATTTTTGAGCTGATAAATTATTATCCCAATTATGATCATTATATCGAATTTAATTTAAATCATTTATAATTGATTAATTATTTATCACTACTTTTTATTGGTAGCTATATGTTAGTTACCATGCATATTCATTGTAAATTAGATAATTTTTTATTATAATTGTTATTTTATAGATTGCAAGTATACAATATATATTAATGTATGAAATAAATGTTTACTTTGATTCTATTAAGTTTCCTCATAATTTAGTACATGTTATATCGTATATGACTCAGTTTGATCTAATTTTTATTTTGAATGTAAATTTATTAATATTAGATATTATTAATTACATAAAATCAGATTCGTAATATTATTACTCTTATTACGTTAGTTTTCTACAGATCGTGCAATATAATTATTTTTGTATTAGTATTACACTTCTTATATAAATATATATAGTTATTATTAAGTTCTAAAAGACTCAGAGAATCTTGCTATTATACTGTTCTCAAATCTAACTCGATCTTTGTGTATCATGCTTTCCTGTTATCTCACAGTCATTTACCCTATGCTTATTTCTCTAAATCGATCTCCATTGCTTCTACTCTTCCCATATCTATTTCTAATTGGATTGATCAATTAGTATTATCCTTACTTAATATTTTTACTTTTTTATCCCATTTGATGTTTTTTAATTGATTTATTATTGTTAGTTTGTTTACCATTTTTAATTTGTTTATTATTATCATCATTATTATTTTATTATTAACCTATTATTATTATTACTAGGTATCATTATATTACCTATTATATTCAGATATATTTTTACCATTATTAATTATAAATTTTTTATTGCTATTTATTGGCATTATAATCGCTGATCCTCATGTTGGGTTTCACTCGAATTATGTGGAACACTCATCAGTCCCTCTCCTGATCCTGAAGTAGCCGTCCTCCGCCCCAGTGCGCGCCCCACGGTTTATATATCAATTCTCAACTAATTAATTTTCATCTACATTTCATGATCCACTGAATTAATTAGTTATTTATCTTCTCTTCCTGTGGTCCTCTTATTCATTCTTTTGTCACCTCTCGAATTGGTTTTAGTCCCAACTATTAGTAGTCTGCACACGTGGGTTCGTGATCTAATCTGTCACTTTCGCACTATTATGTTAGCCGTGTATAGTATTGAATATGATATTATGGTAGTGTGTTAGTCTTGTATTATTAGCTTTGTAAGGTTATAGTGATCCAACTTATATACTGTTCATTTTAAATTGTAATACTTTACATTTATTTGATAATGAATTATGATAATATTATAAGATTCGTGTTTATTTTAATTGATTCACCTATTCATTATTTTTTGATATACTACGTATTGAAAGCTTTAACATTATACCTTACCCTAATTTAGTTTACCTGTATAATTATCTGAGTAAATGTGCAATTATCGATTTGTGCAATATATGCATAACACCTATGCTAATGACTATTTAATATAACTTATTTTTACTAACCTATACTAATTAAACTGCTATTATTAAGATGCTATATCTCGTGTATCATTATTAATTTTTCACATATGTAACATAAGTGATATATTCAAACTATTCCTACTCAGATAATAATTTAATAATATTATATTTAACTAGTGATTTAATTTTCATTATCATTATACATTTATTTAGTTTATTAGTTTTTTTCAATGTATTTACTATAATACTATATTTATCTAGTCTCTATGTATTTTAAAGTTTTAGCTTGCTAGTAGTATATTACTCCTCTAATATATCAGTTGATGATATTGAATTTAGCCATTATCCCAAATCTAGATGATTATCAAATACATAATCTCTGTATTTTTATTTTTGAATCATTGATATGAACTATTTGTCAAATATATAACACCAAATTTATTCTACATAAGGCAACTCCTATTTACTCTTTTTTTTGTCTTTCATCAGTCTTTCCCGTATGTATGAGTGCGATAGATTATTGCCAACTTTATGCTTATCTATCTGAACACATATACTGATCCTCACAATTTCATTTATTACAGATCTATCGCAATTTCCACCAGATCGATTGCATCATCTCTTTTTTCCGGCTGATTCTCCCATCTTGCGAGCACCTCTCGTATATAAT